GCAACTCCTTCCACAATGACTCCACCGGCAACCGCCGCCGACGGCCAAAATGACACAAAATTACTTCAGACTATGCCCTCTAGTCAGATACCACCACCTTCCCCGCTGGTGACCACAACACCCAGTCCCTGCCCCACCGCCACTTTCCCTGATCTGCCACCAGCCATACACACCAGATTCCTAGCCCCACACCCGATCCCCAGCCCCCCTCCACTGCTCCACCAGCCTACAACATCTCACCCCTACCCCACCAGCCCACGACAGCCTACCCCATCACCACGCCACCACCAGCCGACCACCACTCCCAATAACTCGACCTACCCGGTTTTGACCCTCCTCGCTGGCCAGCCTTCACAAAATCGTCGCCCGATCTGAACCAGATCTGAACGAGGAGGTCGATGACTGGTGAGGCGGCGATGAAGACTGGCGAGATCTGAAGCGGCGACAGAAACTGACGAGGGCTGAAGCGGAGACGGCATATCCATGGAGTGGATACGGCGGACCCCTGAAGCGGCGATGGCGGCACTACTCGAGCCCTGGAGTGCCGATGGAAGCACTCCTCCAGCGATGGCGGCGACGAGATTCGTTGGAGGCGATGGCGGCGGCGAGGTTCGTCGGAGGCGATGGCGGTGGCGAGATTCGTCAGAGGTGATGGCAGCGACTGGGAGGTCTTCTCCATTCATGTGGTCCTTTGATCCAACTCATACGTAAGGACGAGTACGTATATCATACAACCGGCTCCGGGTGAGCACCGTACAGCCGGCCCAGTAACAGGCCCAAGGTAAAAATAACAAAATAATTCGGTGGCATTTTTGTAATAATGTGAAAATCGTGGTTTCTGCTAAATGAGCACTAGTGTACTTTTAATGAGCAATAGTCCAATTTTAATGAGTATTAAGCGTCCAATAATGAGCTCCGTGTTATTACAAGAAAACTGATATCACAACTAAAAACGGTGGCATTTTCGTAATTTCAGTGAAAATCGCGGTTTTCATTAGATGAGCATTAATACACTTTTAATGAGCATCAAACGTGTTCTACTGAGCATTTAGAGTCAAATAAAGAGTATTGTGATATCAACTTCATATATTATAATTCATTTTTTTTTCCTTATTTTTTCTTTTATAAAAACTCATTAAATTATATCTATAATCAATTCCTATGAATTTCAATATGTGAATCTAATGTAATACGATACTTTTGAAATGTGCAATGTTTTGACATTTTAAAAATGAGCACATCCGTACCAACTGAGCATATGTAACGTACAAATGAGCATTGATATGAAAATTGTAAGTTTTGTTAGTTGAGCATCAAACACCCTCTATTGAGTATTCGGATCATGCAATTGAGTATAATGATTTGTGCTCTCGGGTCTATAATTGAATCCTATTATGATCATTTCGGTCTATTGAGTATTCAGACACTCAATGAGCATAACACCAGTACAAACTGATTATACATTACTTACCAAATGAGCAATGATATGAAAATCATAAGCTTTGTTAGTTGAGCATCAAGACATTTTCATTGTACATCAAAACTCCTTTATTGAGTAGTATAAACATGCAATTGAGTATCATGATCTCTACTTTCGTGTCTATAATCAACTCATGCAAATTTAAGATGCATAAATATAACATTTTAAAATGAGCATAATATTGATACACAATGAGCATACATTACTTACCAAATAAGCTTTGCTAGTTGAATATCAAAACATCTTATTGAACATCAAACATTCTCTATTGAGTATCAGAAGCATGCAATTGAGTATCACGATCTCTGCTCCCATGTATATAAATATGATGCTTTTAAAATATGCATTAATATGACATTGTAAAATGAGCATAAAACCAGTGTCAAATGAACATATATGGTTTACAAAATGAGCATAAAAAATTCAAAGCTCATTTGAATTCTCTAATGTGTTGAAATATTCATTTATGCACATATAATCACAAATATAGTAATTTTATGTTAAAATAATATAGTCTTTCGTTCTCGAATTACAAATATAATTGGGATTGGGTTGTTTTTATAATGTTTACCCAAGCATGTTTATTTTTCACTATACTCATTTTAGTATAACACATAACTCATGTTAGTAATTAACACATAATATTTAATAAACTAATAAATATTCATTGTAAATTAAAAATAGAAAAATAAAACATTAATACCTAAAATATGTTATAATACAGAAATAAAAAAATAAAAGTTTGATTGGAAAAAGAAAAAGATTGAGACACTTCATAATAATTGAAAATAAAATTAAAGTTGATGTTGCTAAGAAAAAAAAGCAGAAAGAGAACAAACAATTAAAAAGCAATAAACGAAAAGGAGTAAAAAAAAAAGGAAATCAGCATGCGGCAGAAATCAGGTGGAGTAGTGCATGCGGCCCAGGTGGAGTTAGAAACGATCAAGAAAACCCGGCGTAGTACTGCATGCGGCGGAAATCAGTGCCCAGATTGATACGTACTGCAGCAGACAAAAGAAGTAAAGAACAACAACTAACATATCTATTGCCCTCAAAGTTGAAACTAATTTCAAAAAAACTCGGCTGTACCATGCCCTAGGTACAGCCGGTTGTATGATATAATTTACCCGTAAGGAAAGCCTCAGTCACTCGCGAACAACTGAAATGTGAAGGAGCCCATATGGGCCAGGTCATATTTCTGGGAAAAGCAAAAGTTCTTATTTTTTGGAAATCAAAAGCCGGATAGTTATGTCTGTGCCATTTTTTCTAGAAATAATATCGAAATAATATGGCGGCGTAAGACAATATTACTCTTATTCCGGAAATCGAATTACCGATAAAAAAATCCTCCCTTGGTAGGGTGTTTACATGAAGTGTTTATAGAGATTAGGAGGTAGAATCATGGGAGGAATCTAATACAATAAATGCTTAATTAATGAACTATATTCTTGCTCGAAATAGAACTCCTTTTCGTGCTTCATCCTCACGCAAGAACTATCTCCTTCTTGTCCACGAACTCCTCTGTTTCCAAATATCTATATCGAATGGTACCTTGCCACGTAGACCTCAAGAATATCCCGGCCTCATTAGAACTCCGCCTAGGCTCGAGGCCTGCTGTCCAGTCCGGCCTGTCTGTGGGTTCCTATCGTGGGCCTGATTCCCAATTAGTCCAGTGGCTCATTCGATATTACTCCCGTTTATGGACTAATCTTGTTAATTAGGCTGATCCCGTTGAGTGCTGATCCCATTGATGACTTTGCTCTAATTCAATCTTGGGCCATGGCTGTGATCCATGGTTCCATCAATATGTATCTCTGGTCTTCTTTTTGAAGTATTTTATTAAATTTGTCACACATAATGGAAACTAATGTGAACATTTATCAGTGTTCTAAAAGGCGCTAGTCAGGCGGTGACTGACTGCCTAGTGCCTAGCCCTCTTAGGAGGGGCGTCTAAGCGCCGACTAGGGCGCCTAGGCATTTCCTCAAAAAAAATTCAGTTCCTATTAATTTTAAAAATCTTTACTAATAATTTTAGATATTTTGACAATAGAAACAGCTAATTTAATCATTAAATGTTGTGGTCTGAAGTAAAGTTCTCAAAAATGAAATGATTAATAGATAAAAAAGATATTTGTGCTTTTTAATCTCTAAAATTGTTCATTTACATTCTAAAAAGTTCATATACAATTAAAAAGTATTAATCTTAAAGCCAGTTAAAGGAATATAATACTTATCGATCAACCGGCGTTCTAAGAAAAAACGTAAAAAATAAGTTGGGTTGGGAACAAATTTAGTCCGGGCTGCCTAGTCACCTAGCGTGCCTAGATGGTCAACCGATTTTCTCGGCCGATTACCACGAAATAGGGGTGCCCGACCACCACCTAGCGCCTAGGCGGTGCCTAGGCTGATGTTTAGAACCACGATTTTATACTTCAGCTAATGATGATGTTCAAATTTACATTATTGTAGTGACTATGATGATATAATTAAGTCACATTTTTATTCATAATAATATTTAAGAAAAAATCTATTAAAGTAAACATCCAATAAAAAAAACGTTTTTTAAAAAAAAAAATACAAATACAATGTATGTGTCATAGACCATAAAAAGTTATTCAATTTGATATACTACTTTTGTTAAAATCGGAAAACAAATGAAAATATTATAGCATTTTATAAAAAAATAATTGTTATAACATTTTATAAATATGTTATTTGGACTTGCGATAACAAAATGTTATTTGGACCAATTTTGAGTCATCAAATGAAATAAGTAGAGGTTAACGTGTAGTTAAAAAATAATACCGTATGGTGTTTATTATTCCTAATTTTAAAGAAATCAATTATACTTAATAGTTACTTGAACAATAAGGGAGGCAAAATAGTCTACCTACGGTTACGTTAAGTAATATACTGGGTGCGCAAAGCAATCCCTTTAAGAGATTATTGAAAAAGTGATAGTAGTAAAGGTAGATAGTATTTGTAAATAAAAGTGATTTTAATTAAAAGGTAAAATTTTAAGTGTTTGAAAAAGGTGACTTTTGATATAACATTTTGTTAAAGTACAAGACTACCCCTTAGCATACATAATATTACTCCTTCCGTATCACATATATCTTCCCACTTCCAAAGTGGGTGAGATTAAGAATAGTGAAAGAGATATAAATTATTGAGGGTATGGTGGGAAGATAGTTAAATAATGTGGTGGAATAAAGGATAAATCCAAAAAAGTAGGTGTAATAGCGTATTATTTTTTAAATTATTGAGGGTATGATGAGAAGATTTAGAAATGGGAAGATATAAATGTTACGTCCAAAAAAGGAAAGTGGGAAGCTATTAATGTTACGGAGGAAGTACTAAAATAGTCCAAGGCTGACTGTGAGGCGCGAGCTGCAATTTCGGCAGTGAATAGAGAAGGGAGAAAGAGAGTAGAAATAGATGCTTCTGGTGCTTCCCGGTATGGCCGGTGCTTGAGAGACCATTGGCAATTGATGAGTGATGACTATTGAAGGTTATGACCAAAGTTTTTCTTCAAAAATGGAGGAACATGGTTTTTTTCACCACTTCTTTCCTCCAGGGATGTCATCAAACTTAGATTAAAGTGTCATGGCTTTGCGGAGAGGAAAAGGCAGATCTAGATGTAGTGGGGTATGTCTTTGAGAGGCCACAAAGGAGAGAAAGCTTCGCGGGCAGTTGTACAAAGGTTGTGGCCTGTGGGGACGAAGGGTAGTCCAGGGATTAATCAAAATAATTAGGAATAAAAACTATCCTAAAAGTTGGATGTATTTACCAAAAACCCTATACACAAATAAAAGCATGTATAATCCAACTTCCAACTTTCAGCTTAAAGTTGCTTAAAATAAGCCGAAGTTTCAGTTTACAAACACCACTTTTGACTTTTTTAAGGCTAAAAGTAGATAAGTGTTTTTTTCAAGCGGCAAACACTGCCTTAACCAGCTACGTTCCTCTTCGCTTCTACCTTGGAAACTAACTTGCACCCAATTGATGAAGGTATCCACTGAATCATCCAGCAAACCCCACCCCAAGGAACACCAAATAGCAGCAACAACGGGCAACCTGACGAAAATATGCAACAACGATTCACACCCTTGGCTGCAAAGTCCGCACCTTACCTCACAATTCAGTCTTCTCGATTTCAAACCTTTTGACCTTCAGTAATGGGAAGAGACCCGGCAAATTTAGTTTTGCATTAAACAATGTGGAACCATGTGGTTATTGAAATCATGGCACAAGCAATGATACACCATAAATAGTGTTTTGTGCCAGTAATTGGAGCTCATTTTAGTTACGTTCCACCGATGGATCTTATTTGACCACTCAATAACACTCATTGGTCACCTGTCTATACTGAAGTAGTCCATAGAGTTTTACATACAATTTAGTTCAAAATTGGTTGCTAGGTCATAGTTAATCCATGGTTAATTGTTTATAAGTCCTACAAATGTATTCGCTCACTTAAGCCATCAGTATTTTGGATTTTTTGTAATATTGATGTCAGATGTCCTTCCTATTGCAACCTTCTTTAGAAGGAATAGTGAGATTCAATTCACAATAGATATAGCTCAATTGAATATTGGTGATCCTGCTGTTTTTATCCAATGGACTTCTACACATGCACCAGTTGTCCCGAAAATTCAGATACTGATGGTTAATATTACCAGTAATCATTGCAAGAGCAAGCTCCATCTTTGATATGGTGAAATCTATTGGAATCTCTCAAAACTAATTCTCTACCCGTCGCTATTGATATGTACTTCATTGCAGTATGGCAATCCTTGCACACTCTCAGGTTCTTGAATATCCGAATGGGCTTTGGTTTGGCTGTGCTTATTAGCCCAAAAGCTACTGCTATCTTCTCGCTGTGCTGGAATAGATATTGCTCCTTATGCTCCTCCTCCACGTCATGGAGCACCAAGGTTGTGTTTGGGATGTAACCCAGTCCCTTTATTTCCACAACCAGTCGATCCAATTCGCGGTGTATCTCCTTTGCCTGTGGATGCTTAGTGTCCCCTACATAAAACTTGTTCATCTTGTTTCCGGTTTCTATCCAGCTACAGCCAGCTTCTTTCACCACTTTGCGTTCTTTCATGTCTTTCCTGATTCGTGCCACTTCTTCCCAGTTTCCAGTGGACGCATATATGTTGGACAACAGAACATGTGCTGCTGTGTCTTGTGGGTCCCACTCAAGAACCATTTTGGCCGCATGCTCTCCAAGCATCATGTTTCCGTGAACCTGACAAGCTCCCAGTAATGTGCGCCAGATAATGGCACCAGGGGTGAAAGGTATGCATTTAATGAACCTTACCGCATTCTCAAGATTTCCGGATCTACCTAGAAGATCAACCATGCATGCATAATGCTCCATTCTCGGACGAATTCCATGTTCTATGGACATCAAGTTGAAATGTTTCCATCCAGAATCTACCAACCCAACATGGCTGCAAGCTAATAGAACAGCAATATATGTGACCTCGTTTGGTTTCACACCTGAACTGACCATGTCACAGAACAACTCTAAAGCTCTCTTAGCGAAACCGTGTTTGGCAAAACCTGTTATGATTGAAGTCCAAGATATTGCGTTCCTGTTTTTGGATTCATTGAATACTTGAGAAGCAGCCTCGATGTTACCACATTTTGAATACATGGAGATCAAAGCATTGCAGACAGATTGATTAGTCTGGAACCCTGATTTTAGGAGTCGAGCATGAATTTCTTCCCCTTTACTAACTGCCCCTATACTTGCAGCAGCACTCAAGAGAGTCGCAAAGGTGAAAGCATCAACTTCAACTCCAGACTCTTCAGTTTGGTTGAAAAGTTCAAAAGCTTTAGAGGAATCCAAGTTCTTGGCATATCCATCAGCAATTATGTTATAGGAAATGCAATTCTTCTCAAAGAGAAATTCAAAAGCTTTCCATGCATCATCAAACCTACTTGATTTGGCAAACATACTTATCAAAGAGTTAGTCACACAGTTCATGGCTGCAAGACCTGATTTTACAGCATGGTTATAAATCTGCTGGCCAATATCAGGGCAGGAAAGATTCCCACATGCTTTCAAAAGGCTACAAAATGTATAATGGTTTGGTTTAACACGGGTTTCAATCATCATACAGTACAAGTTAATAGCTTCTCTATCACCTCCTGTTTGTGCATATCCTGTGATGAGTGCAGTCCAAGACATGACATTATGATGAGACATTCGATCAAAAACCTTCCTTGCGTAGTCCATTGATCCATCTGTAGAGCTTTTGGAGTACATGTTAACCAAACTGCATCCGACCCACACATCCATTGACAATCCAGACTTCATGACCAAACAATGCAGCTGCTGTCCAAATGATAGCCACCCCAACCCCATATCAGCACAAGATGATAAAATGCTACTAAGAGTGAATCTATCTGGGGTGAACCCATTCAAAAGCATTTCCTCGAACAGGTGGATTGCATCCTTTGTATTACCCAATTGAGATAATCTAGCGATCAAGAGAGTCCAGCAAACAGAGTTTTTCTCAGGCATTTCTTCAAACACCTTCTGAGAGGATTCTAAGTCGCCAAGCCCTTTGGAAAATAAATCAATCACTGCACATCCCACACAAACATCAGAATCAAAATAGCCAGTTTTGACCACAAATCCAAAAATAGCCAATCCAGTACTGCCGAACCTCGCATTAGAACAAGCTTTGATAGCTGCTGAGAAGCAGAACTGGTTCGGATACTCTCCAAAACTAACCATTTCAACGAATGTTAAGACGGCCTCCCTTTCCATATTACAACGAGCATAGCACGAAATCATAACACTCCATGAAACCATGTCTCTCCGTGCACCCATTGCATCGAAAATTTCTTTTGCAGTTTCCCAGTCACCGCATTTCGCATACAAGCTTATGAGTGAGTTGAGAACAATAGTATCTGGTTCGAGTGGTGAAACCCCGAGTCTAGAGTGGATTGACTTACCCAGTTTGAAGTTACGGGTTCTGATGCAAGATTTGAGGAGGGCGGCATAGGAGGCGAGGTCCGGGGTGAAGCCCATCTGGGAAATGAGATCAAGGGTCGAAATAGCTTGGCGGATGTTGCCCCCATTGGCCTGGCGAATCAAACGGTCTTTGAGAACTTGGAAATCAGAGTTTTTCTGAAATTGAACGGAAGCTGCCTTTGGGGTAGAAAGACTTCTGGGTTTGATGGAAGGAGAAGAGCTGAGCTGTGCAGAAACAGGAAGAGATAGACTTATCATGATTCGTGGTCGACGCTAAATTGCAAATGCCACACTCCCACACCATGATTCGTTGTATTTGTCGTGAAATGAAGAGACAGATGGAACTAATTGAAATATGATACAAAACCCACGATGTGAAATAATAGTCTTTGATTTTTTGTACTAAGAGAAATGTTGTTCGTTTTATGTTTAGTTTAGTTTATAAATTCATTTACACATTCATTACTTGTAATAATATAGTATATACATCAATTATGTATGCATGTTGTAATTTGTTGCATCATGATGATATGTTTTTACTGGTTATTAGTAGTAATTAACTTTTATTTTTATGTAATTTAAAAATTTTATATTGATAAAACAATAAATTTTCATCTCAACTATATTACATAGAACATAGTCACAAACTATGTAAATTAATAATATATAAACTTTTATCTTTCTCGCATACTCATATAAATCAAGACATATTTATTTTTTCTCATTTTTATTTTATTTGCTCTAGTGTGCTTGCATTCTTTATGTAATATGTTTGATCCCTCTAACTATTATACGGAGTATCAATTTTAAATCAAAAGACATTTTTTTGGTAAAAAAACTAAAAAATCAAAATCGAACCGAAACAAACCGAATCAATCAAACGGTGGTCCAAATTTTGCAGTGTAAAATCGAATCGAAACCGAATCAAAATTTTTTACTTTGATTCTATATTTTTTTTAAGTCAAAACCGAATCCAACCCACCCACTACACGGAAAAACTTTTTTTTGTAGAACAGATTGATGACATATCTCTACTTGTTCTTCTTAATAGTAGTATAAAAATTTGTGAATGAATTTATAGAGATTAATGAGAAAAGAGTCAAATAAGTTCTTCTACTAATACAATCCATCATTTAAACCCCTATACTCAAAAAAGTATTTAAAAAATTGATTACCTTAAGTGTGCTTACTTTAAAATATTGATTAATTTAGCAATTTAATAAGTTTTTAATTTGAAATACCAGGTTTTTAATATTTAAAAAATCTAAAAAAAATGTTAAGATATAAAGAAGTATGTATAAGAATTGTGAAAATTTTCAGAATTTCAAAGCCAATATTTTTAATTTTAAAAATATTTGTATATTCTAAATCTTTGTGAAAGGTCTTTAATTTTTTTTATTTCACTTTATTTTTTCATTTTTCATTTTTATTATTTTATTTTGTTTTGTTTTTTATCTATATTTACATTTATACTATTTTTATATTATTATTACATTATTTTTTCAAATTTATATGAGTTTTGTAAGATTTATCAATATTCCTAATTTAAATTTTGAAAAATAACCTACTATAGCAAGTCAAATGACTTGATTGATTGCATTTTAAAAGTAAATATGCTATTATGATGCTTTTTAAGTAGAAGAATTTAAGTGATAGATTGAAAATAGTAGATGTGTCTATAACCCTTTTTCCAAGATTGGTTAAGCCCTATACATATATAGTTGGGTTTGGGAATGAATTATAAAGGAATGATTTTACATCTTTTATTCGAATACTAAACCACCTCACCTATTTATCCAGGTTAACTTTTTATCTGAAATTTAGTGAGCATAAACTTGACTTGACGAAAACATGCTAAAAAATTTTCATAAAAAACTTCTACCAAAAGGCCCCCAAATGGCCTTGGTTAGACAGTGGAACCTGTCAAGCCGGCTTGACAGGATCGACACTCTATATATTACAAAATAAAAATGGAAATAAAAATAGAAAATATTTAAAATATAGAATAAAATGTAAATACAAAATTGAATACCTATAATATTTATATCGTAAAAAGTATTAATACTATATACATGAACAATTAAATTATAAAATACAAAAAAAGTATTATGTAGAATATCAAAGGTCTAAAATAAAGATTCAAATGTAAAAATATACATATAAATTATTTTTATGTTTTTATATTTTTGTAGTTGTAGTTCGAGTTAACCAAAAAAAAAACAAATAAATTTTATCTATATTTTTTTACTGTATATTTATAATTTATCTTTATTATTAGTTTTTATTTAATATGTTTTTTGAATTTATTCTTATATTGAAACTTTCGTAAAGTTTTGGAGGTGAATTGGAGTTCTATTTTGTTCAAGGACCTATTTGAACTTTTACTCTTTACATCAAATGTACAATTGGCACCAGCCAGGTAACATTGTGGGTAACCAGATGTTTACCGGTAAATCGTGAAATTTGAACTTTTTTTACAAGTTTAGAATAGGAATTGATTTTTTTAGTTGAGAAACTGAATTGAGCAAACACCAAACGTGATCGATAGAGGGGCCTATTTGACCCTTTAGCCTAAAGGATTTCGTCATAATTTCAGTTAGATAAAAAACAATCAAATGAACATCAAATGAATTGCACCAATAACAGGAGAACAAACGAAGAAATTTACAAGATTAAGAAAAAACAATCAATAGCTGTAGTATGTATTTACTATGGATGATTCAATGGAATCAACATTCATCTTATGTGTGTGGAGCAATAAATGACCTTGGAGGCATCTCTATGAGATCTTCATCTCCTTCAAGCATTTCAACAATTCTGTTCATAGGAGGACGATCGGCATACTTCATCTGTATGGACCACAAAGCAACTACGATAATCTTCTTCATAGCTTTTCTCTCTTCCTCACTACCATCTCCAGTGACTACTACTTCATTCCCTTCCATGATTTGATCATAAATCCACATGGCATCGGCGTTTGGATTCATATTGATCAATTTCCTAGCCAATTTAATTAACAGCATTCCAAAACTGTGAACAACATTATTATCCGCGTCGTCCAGGTTTGCGAGCCCAAAATATGATATTTTCGGATTGAAATTCTCATCAAGAAGAACGTTGTGAGGCATATTGACGAAATTGTCACACCCTTTATTATGAAGGTAGGCTATTGCATGTGCCACACCAAGAGAAATCTGAAACGTTTGTTTGTAACTCAAGGGGGTGGTATTCCCTTGTTCAGATAATACCCATTTTTCTAAAGACCCGTTTGGCATGAACTCACATACCAAAGCACGATTAGATCCCTCGACGCAAAATCCGATGAGATGAACCACATTCACGTGGTGAATACTTCCAATAGTAGCAACCTTATTGAGAAATTCTTTTCTTGTTCCAATGGTTTTCTTCATCATTTTAATTGCAACGAGAGGTCCACTCTTAAGTTTCCCTTTGTATACTGTTCCATTGGTTCCTTCTCCTAGTTTCTCCTTGAAACCATTAGTCATCTTCTTAATCTCAGCATAACTGTAATTTATTGGCAGCAGTTTGCTCTGAATGTCGAGGAAATCCTGAATGGTGACATCTCCTGGTAAATGACGCCTCTTTCGTTGATAGACGACTAGCACAACAAAAAGTATGATCCCAAGGAGAAATCTGATTCCCAGAAATGGTACTGGGGAGTTTAGAAAATAAAAAATAAAGTCAATAAATAGAACTACAAAACCAAACTTTTTATCAGTTTGGTTAAGTCAAACTTTACTGAGAGATAAATTAAAGTCATTACCTATCGTTACTAGGCCATATAATATCACCAGAACTGAAAAAATATAGACAGGAGAGGGGAAAATAGAATGTTAGAAATACATATGTATCATTCAATTAAAGAACTAAGGAAGGATAAGTCCCATTATAGAGAAAAAAATTATGAAAATTATGAAAGCCACATTATTAAGAGATTAAAGGATCCGTTTGGTAATGAATTCTGATAAATTCTATTTATCAGCAAGAAATGCATATAAATAGAGTTCTGACATATACATTACAAAAACATTTTTTCCCAGAGAAGTTTGCATATTCAATTAGTTCAATTAAATAAATAACCCTTACCAAACGGACTGGAAAATAGCAACATTCATTCTCAGCAGAAATTGGAACCAGATAAGCTTTAATTAATATTTAAAACCTACCTCCATAATAATGGATGCTACCTGCAGAAAAAAGAACAAAAGGCATTAGAAAACGACTTACACCATAAGAATTTTCTAAAGAAAATGCTGTTAAGGCTTAGTTCCATTCTATAAATTCAAACATCAGCTGTAACTTAACACATTAGTTTATTCTTATTTTATATTTTAGGAATGTGAGATGCTTAAAGATTAGGGCTTACAAGGAAGAGGAAGATCAAATCCCGTATCATCATAACAACGATGGCTGCAAGAAACACCTTCAAGATTGAGAGGATCATCAAAGAAGCACTGGCCTCCGCTGCGCTCACAATCTCGACACAAGTAAGCCCTCTTCCAAGAAAGCTCGACGCCGTAGCCCAGGGCAGCATGGATGCTGGACAGAGAACTGTTGTCGCCCGGGATCAGCCCATTAACCGAGGCCCATGCCACTGTTTCAAAGCTGCAACTCCTCGGCACGTCTCGTATCGACAACCTGTCTCCAATTGTCACATAGCTGCTGCCGTTGCTTCTCGCCTTCGTACAGAATTCCGTGTGGACGTACTCTTTCGATAAATTCGTCGAACAGGTGGTGTACACTATAGGAACGTTAGCTCCGGTGGAGCGGAACTTAAAACCGGTGTCAAAGAAATCACTGCCTAGAACAATCTTGGGGAAACTAGTGCAGTTTCGATTAGTTTGATCTTGCAATCCGGGGTCGACAACCCTGATCGAGTAATCCGAATAATTGATTGCCTGAACGTTGTACCGTTCCGTTTCAAACATTATGCTTGGTTGGTTGTTCCAACAATCCAGCACATATTTGGGATAGCCGCAATTCTGTGGAGAACTTTTGAGACGAAATGGGAAGGTTATGTTGTGAAGGTTTCCGCAAGAAGATGGAGGACAAGGGGGATCGGGTAAGGTTCTGGAGGCTGTTTGAGGAAGAAAGAGTGCGAGCAGAAGTAGAGCTGCGGCGGCGGAAAAGAAGAGCTTTTGCGGCGACATTTCCGGGAAATGGATCTGGGAATGAGTGGTTGGTTGTGTTCTGGGAGTAGAATGTATTGAGGGATTTTTTCCTTTGGAGACATCGGAGAAGATATATTGAGAGATTTTGATCGGTTCTTTCTTTGCTGGGATGGTTCCGGTGGTTGAAATGGTGAGACGGCGGTCAAAGAGTGGTGACAGGCTTGACCTATTCTTATCATCAGCCAAATGAATAGTCGCAGGATAGAAGACGCGTACGAGTAGCTTCAGTTACCGCCAATTTTTGTCCAGGACGACCGGATCTCAGATGCTGTTATGGACGGTAAACAATGTTCGACCCCTCTCAAATATTTATTCATTGAAAGTAAGATTTTTATCGATAACATTTTTATCAAATACGTAATTTTTGATGTCACGCACCGAAAACTGTAATAATAAGAAAAAGTAAGGTTGAAGTTACTTTTTTGGCTGTTTCAACTGAAGTTACTGTAGAGGGCAATTTTAGCTATCTTTAAATATAATTTTTTCTTTATTTTTATTAATAAAATATATTTTAAATTTATTTTTTCATAAATCAACAGAACCAGCATATACAACCACTTAAGGCAGAACTTAATAAATTTCAGCGCCGATCAGTGTTACCAAACGGGCTCTAAATTGTTAGGGACTTATCTCACACTAGACTCATACCAATGTCATAAGTCAATTAAGCTCATACTTGATCGGTGTTGGATCGTTACAAATCTCCACGCTTCGAAGAGCCATACTCAGAGTGTTGGGAGTACTTGTTCTCGTTGGTCACAGTTGGCACCCCCCAGAGATCAAGCCACCACTCCGAGTAGGCCTGGACTCGGGCCGGTTCGGGCCTGGGCCCGGCCGGGCCTCGGGCCAGGAAATGGGAGGCCCGGGCCCGAACCGCCGGTGGCCGGTTCCGGTCCCGGTTCCGGGCCAAACCGGGCCGGGCCGGGCCGAACCGGCCCACTTAATTTTTTTTTTTGTTCTCCTATTTAATCCCCTACCCCTCCCCCTCAACCCCAAATCACCCCAAACCACCTAAAATGGCCCAAAATACCTATTCCAACCCAAAACTTTAAAAAAATTTCAAAAAAAAAAAAAAGATTAAATCCGGCCCGGATCGGGCCCGAACCGGCCGGGCCGGTTCACCATTTGGAAGGCCCGGGCCCGGAACCGGGAACCACCGGGCCGGTTCGACCCGAACCGCCGGTGGACCGGGCCACCGGGCCGGGCCGGTTGCTACAGTGGCCGGGCCGGGCCGGTTCCGGGTCGGGCCGCCCGGCCCGAGTCCATGCCTAACTCCGAGTGTTGGGAGTTGGGACAAGGAAGATCGGGACGACTCAATTGTTACGAACCTAGCTCATACTAGGCTCATACCAATGCTATAACTCCAGAGATAGAACCCACTCCCAAAAGCCTAGCCAATTAAGAAGAGGGGACACCAGCTGATAAAACACTGATCAAGCCCATACTTGATCAGTGTGGGATCATCACATAAATGTCCTTTGGTATGAATTATTGTGGTAATTGTGTGTATGATGTTGAGGTGTTTGACAATTGGTTGTTGACTATTGACTATCACATAACAGATTTGGTTGGCTATTTTATCAGCTGATCATAATATCATTCATATTAGTGGTTTGTAAAATAATACTCTCTCTGTCTCTCAATACTTTGCCAAAGTTGACCAACACGTGGATTAATAAAGTAAAAACTGTGTGGTTGAGGTTTGTACAGAGGAGAGAGAATTAACTGGAACCACAAATTCTTTACTTAAAAGGGAAAGTGGCAAAGTTAGTGGGACATCTAAAAAAAGGAAAGTTGGCAAAGTTATAAGGGACGGATGGAGTATTTGGTTAAATGGTTGTTTATAACTTGCGGGTAACTTATTAAATGATTTTTAATTTTTAAGGACAACATACTTACTACTTGTTGAGATATATTATCTCGGTCTGTTACTGTTCAGCGGCCCAACACCCTATCCCCACGGATGACCCGATCCACGAGGCCCATTTCGGCTTGTCCAGTCTGTCTCGACCTAGTTTGGCCTATCCAGCGCATTATGGTAAATTGCACCCATCCCCCCCTTCTATAAATAGGAGGAGTTCCCTCCACTTTTGGACTCGGGCTTGGGCCTACTGGGCCATGTCGTGGACCTAGACTTGAGGGTAAGTTCAGGGCCTCAACCGATTAGGCTATGAGCCCAGGCCCTTAAGAAATGTTACAGAAAAAGGAAAGTTGACAAAGTTATAAGGGACGGAGGGAGTATTTGGTTAAATGGTTGTTTATAACTTGCGGGTAACTTATTAAATGATTTTTAATTTTTAAGGACAACATACTTACTACTTGTTGAGATATATTATCTCGGTCTGTTACGGTTCAGCGGCCCAGCACCCTATCCCCACGGATGACCCGATCCACGAGGCCCATTTCGGTTTGTCCAGTCTGTCTCGGCCCAGTTTGGCCTATCCAGCGCATTAGGGTAGATTGCACCCATCCCCCCTTTCTATAAATAGAAGGAGTTCCCTCCACTTTTGGACTCGGGCTTGGGCCTACTAGGCCATGTCGTGGACCTAGACTCGAGGGTGAGTTCAGGGCCTCAACCGATTAGGCTATGAGTCTAGGCCTATAAGAAATGTTACAGTGATGTTATCGAACCAAAAGTTGCTCGATAATTTATTTATTTTTATTTGTCTTGAATTATTTACATATGAATCACAAAGTATATATTCAGAAATTTATAATCATTGAATTAGGTTTAGTTTAATGAACCATTTTTGTGAATGAAGTTTATATATTGACATGTGTCGTTTATTATTAACTATGTTTGAATATTCGTGGGGTATTCATGCATAGCAAGATAAATTACAACTAATTAACTCTATTTTATAAATTTAAAGAAATTGTTCGAAATGCAAACACAAGATAGAAAGTGGAAAAAGATTTCCTCCACAAAGTGTTTGTTTGATATTTAGAATTGAAATCAATCTAATTAAAATATCCTAATAAATTAATTTCAATAACATTAAGTTTTACTGAATACACAAAAAATCATCATAACTTTGCCATCCACTCTTTGGATATAGTATATGTCACCACTTCAGATGAAATTTTATACAAATAGAACATGAACAAAATTGGAGATAAAAGAGGAGATATCATATATCAAAAGTCAATTCTTCATTGTAAATTTCAATTACTTTGGTTCTCTCTTAAAAAGACGTGTTGTCATATTTGTAACCACTTTACGAGCAAAAGGAATGTAACTCAGACCATACCTGAAAAAGATACAAACATAGGTCCTTGTTAGAGGCTCTATAGATTTTGAAATTATTCCACTTTGAGTCCAACAAATTATATATCAATTTTCACATTTAGTTTTCACATATTTTAACTTTCATCAATTCACTTTTGCTACTTGACTACCGTTTTTTATTCACTTGTAGTCATTTGTGCCAAGTTTCTAGCACCCCTATGGTGTTTTGAAATGGTGGGAATATCGAAGTGGGGATCATAAATGAGTAAAACACAATAGTCATATGTCAAAGGGAATAAAAGCCAGATATGTGTGCAAAATATGAAAATGGTGCAATACCCATAAAATCAGAGTGGAATTTATTCATAAGTTTTACTATATATTAACTTAATTTACAACAAAAAGAGTCACGTACCATAGAAGGGCAAGAACCTCACATATGATAGCAAGTATGGATAAAATTACGCTGTGGATCTGCAGCAATTAAGTTTATAGTGATCAAGCTAAGTCATGTCTTTTAGAACCTATTTGTAAAACTAAAGTAACTCAACTCGCTGAATTTAGTAGAATTGCTTAATTATATTCTCTTTGTGTTTGTTAGGCATTATTATCGTTTTAGCAATTCAAATAGCAATAACCTATTTAGCAATTCTATTTAGCGTCTTAGTATCTTCTTTTGCTTAAATTAGGCACTATTAAAGCAAATAATAATCGATCATTGAAGCGTTTTCTTTTTTGTTTGAGAAAACTAACTACCTAACATGAGCTACTAGATTTGAAGTAAAAGTGTTATTAAAAATGACATTATTATCAATAGTAAATGAAGTGAAAGAAGTTGTAGCTCACCATTGAATTACCTTTTACATTGAAATAGTTTTGTTAGAAGTGCTTATGTGGCAAATCAAATTACAAGTACAACTAGTTAACCATTAAAGATGCTCTAATAACATTCTTATTTCAGGATGATACTCCATATTATGGATGACATGTTGAAAGTGAATGTACTTTTTAGAGTAAAGGCATTTTTTACATTGAAACCTACTTTTAGTCTTAATATATTTCAAGGTGTGGGGGAAATTACCAAAATTTTGTTATACCGCACTTGGCATGTTGAGAAAAATACCGAATTTACAGAAATATCGGTACATCTACATTTGCGGTATGACAGGGGAGAGTACAAAATTACTTCAATATGGTATCAATATATATATATATATATATATATATATATATATATATATATATATATATATATATATATATATATATAGGGGAAAAATCAAGTACAAAGTGTGCTTATTGTGCAAATATTTGTACGATGCACTTTGACGTTATTTGTATTGCATATTGAGGTTCAAAGTATTGCACATTATAAAGTCATAAAAATAGCAGTTGCACATTAAGGTGCAACGAGTTGCATCCTAAAAAGTTGAGTTTTATTACAAAAATGCCACTTTGCCTTTATGTCCTTTGGATCAACTCATCGGACGGTCAAGATGAGTTTGTACTTTGTAAATTAAGAAGACTTTGTATTTGATCTCTATTCTATATATATATATATATATATATATAGATATATATATATATCTTGAAAATAATTGGTATACCAATATACCCTTACATAGAAAGTTTAATACGAAGTACATAATTTCGTTTAAATTATTGAAATGACCAGAAACACAACATCAACTCAATGATATATGGCTTTATATCAATGTTGTTTGATATTTTTACTTTTTGAAGATCACTATTGTTTTGTTTATATGTATATATGTTGAAATTATTTTTAAGAGATTTTTTTAATATGTGGTACATTGCACATGCAATGTTTAAATATAATTATAATAGTTCTTGTTCAAAGTTGAAGACGACATCAATATGTTATTATCACAATAACATTGTTTTTGTATAAAGATGTTTTTACTTGGACTGAAATTTGTTCTGTTTTTGTATAAGGATTTTTTTACTTGGACTAAAATTTGTTGGTCTGGTCGGATCTGTTTAAGTCCAATTTGGTCTGGCAAAAGTCTGGTCTCTATGTATTTTATAACTACGGAATTTAGATCTAGTCTAGTCTGTTTAAGTCTGTTTAAGTCTGGTCTAGTTCGGGTTGAAAACAGTCCAAGTAAAAACTTCCTAATTCATTGGGCAAATACTCCGTAATAATTTATTGTATTGACATTCCAATGTGGCATTGTATATACATTTGAAGTGCTCAAGTTTCCCTAAATTGAAATACGATATTTCTAAATTTTAAAAAAGTAATGGTGTGTATTTTTATATATAAAAAATTTTGACATGACAAGTGTATGAGATTTGATGGTCTGATCTGGTCTGGTTTAGTTTGATATGATAAATGTCCGGTCTCTGTGAATTTTATAACTATTCAAGTCTGGTCTGATATGATTTAATTTGGTCTGAAATTGAAAACAATCCTAGTAAAAACATCATTCCTATCATACCATCTAGAAACTGATAAAAGTGTAAAATAGCATACTTACCAGTAAAGCACAAACAAGGGTCAAGACAACACAGATAAAATACAATACTGTGGCAAACACACGAATTGGATCAAACATCATTCTTATTTGCTTGCAAGGTCCAATCAGAAAGGTTGTGCTGCCATGAGATCACAACATTTAGAGAGCACTGAGAATCACAATGTAAAAATACACTATTTTCAACAATATTAGTAAAAAAACAGTACTAGACTCAACATGAGATTATGCCTGGTTAAAACAGATCAATCTTAAAAACCATATCCTATTTACTAAGGTAAATCAGATGAAATTGTTCATTTGAGATAAAAAATGTTGGGCAGCATCAAATTGTTCTTTTGAACTTAAAATGTTTTGATAGTTGAAATACACTAGTACACTACACTGATTGGGATTTGGGAATATAAGACAGATCATACCTTCCAACAGCAAGCATGTTGCCCAAAGAAAACAAAAGAGCAAATTTGATAGGTTTGGCAAAAGCAACACATGACTGCAACAAAGAAGGAACATACTACTAAAACTAAGAAAACAGTGGAAGAAAAAAAGAAATTGATTGTCCAGAGGAAGAAGAGGTCGTATACCGTACCAAGAACATACAGACCAGACCAGTGGCCATACAAGCAAAGAACACATACATCCTCTGATCAACAAAGATTCAAAGCATAGTAAGAAATCATTATTGGATCCATTTCAATAAAGATAGAATCTTTAAACTTGGAATAGGGAAGCCTGAAGTTCATCATAGCTTTACTTGGACATGTGAAAGGGAGCAAAAGCCTTCTTCATCTTCCAAAAAACCATCTTCCTGTTGTTGTTCATTATCATCTCTCCCCAATATGGACCTCCACATTTCTGGACTTATTTCAAACTTTTCTATATCTGAATGCTGATCTTTTGTTAAGAATAAGGGTGGGGAAAGTGGGTAGAGCACACATTATAGCAAAGAGTGTAGGGTCCTTTCGTATGGAAACAGGTTGTCGACCTCATTAGAGAAGTAACTTGGAGACATTTTATTTTGATCTATGTTTTTAACTCTATATTTTATGAATGTTGAATGACTTGAAGGGAGTGATAAAGTCACATCTGACTTGCAAAGAGAAAATAATGAGCTAATAATACATTGACTTGAACTAGCTAATAGATGAAAAAATACCTAATGCATTAGGTTCAATCTTTTAGTGTGGTTTAATTCAAGTGTCTTGTACCCCAACTAAGTGATCCAACCACATCCCGAAATCTACCAAAATAGAAAATGAACCATAACTGGGTAGTTTTATTTCCTGTCTAATATGAAATCACATTGTACAATATCTTTTATCTTAATATATGACAGTACACCTAATTCTTTAATTATCATATACAAGTTGGTGAACTGATCCATGCCACACTTGATTATTGCAAGACCAAGGACATAACAAACTTGAAGCTTATTTATCATATTTACAGACTATATACACTGCTTCCGTATGCAGTTAACCAACTATAAAAATACAATCAATGGATATTTTTAGTTACTTTCTTCTTTGGTTGATTTACTAGAATGGAACTTAAGACTTGGGCATTTTCCTTTCTTTACTCTTTTTTCTTCTAACAGTGTGATCAACAGCTAAATGCTTCCCGGATGCATCAAGTTCTGTTTCGCAAATCTTCCACGGATCCTTGGTTGGTTGTCCGCTAATGTCTTCCTGCATGCATACTACAGACAGTGAAAAATATGATTAGATGGTTTACATGGTTTGTATTTCATAATATATAGAGATGATAACTTAACATTAAAGTAGGATGTCTAGGAGAGACTCAGACCACTTTTGACTTGAGCTAGTGAAATTGCATCAAAATTTACTAGAGACAAGTGTCATAGAAATTACATTTATCTTCCTCACAAAATTCCTCTTGGTCCTCTTAATCTTGTATCTCAGAAGCTTCTCCATTCGACCCTCAGTAGTGGAACCACCAAAGAGTTGGGGTTGACCATGTTGAGCATGCATATGGCTTACACTATCATGTCCAAGACTCTGTCATAAGAACAACTGGTTTAACACAAACCATTTGATAAAATTTGGTTATATAAAACTAAATATTAAAAGAGAACTAAATTGACTGAAGAATATTGTACTAGAAACCTAACTCCTGGACAAAGAGATTATGTGTATGCACATAGTTGGATCCACATTATAAGACTTTGAATCATACTAGCTAGCTCATTCATTCTACTTAGTTTTTTCTGATAAAAATTTGATCCAACTCAGTGAGAAAGAGTATTCAAGGATGGAAAACCAGACCTTTATATCCCCTTCACTGAATGATCTTCTTATCCCATAGGCAGCACCAAAGCCCGTGCCATAAAAATCCAGAAAATCATGCCCCATTGGTGCCCCTTGCATCATTTCCATAGAACTCAGAGACTCAAAGCTATCACTTTTCCAAAAAGATCCCTGAGAAGACAAATATTTCTCTTCTATCATTTTCCCATCATTCTGGGTAATGGGAATCTTGGCGTCCAGGACAACATCAGGCGCTGAACTTTCGACTCCGTTTGAAAAAAGATCAATCTTGCATCCATAGAAAGCATCACTGAGGAGTTGTTCCTTCTCAAATGATGATTCCATTTCTGAAACATTTAGCATTTGGAGGGACATCACATCTTCATAACAAGGATTCACTGGAAAGGAAGCTGTCACTGGACTTTGATCTATAAATGGTTCTTCAAGAATTCGTTTAGGAGCCTTAAAGAGATCCCCTTCTCCTCCAAGGTCAAATTCAGATGCCATATCTGTCTGCAAAAGAAAGTCCCATATGTATTAGGATTTGAAATCAAAATTCAATTAAGATCATGCCCAGAAAGTGTTACATTACAGCCCGTTTCTTAACCTCATTTTAGTAACTTCGTCAAGTTTGATCCGGAAGAAAAATAATAAGATTTTGTATGGTTGAGGTTTGCATGAATAAGAGCTACAGCCTACAAATTGAATATTTGAAAGGAATAGTAGCTATATTTTTGAAATAATAAAAAAGGAAAGTTCAAGAAGTTATAAGGATAAGCAAAAAGGCAGAACTGAGGGCTATATGAATCATGTAAAATTCAAAGGGTTACAATTATGTGAAGATATAACGAAAAATATATGACCAAAATAAAGATACGAAGTATTATTGGACAAAAGTATATCTTTTATACTTTAGTGACTACTATAGTAGTTTTAGTAAACTCGATCTATATTATATATATATATATATATATATATATATATATATATATATATATACACACACACACACACACGGAAAAGATCATGTCCAGCCGGAGGGACAGGATCCTCCGTCCGGCCGCCTCCGTTTGAGGCGGTTCCCGGTGGAGTTTTTTGATGAAATTTTAATGGAATGTTCCTCATCAAGTCTAGTTTATACACAAACAATTTCAGATAAAAATTCGATAGTGAAGGCAGTCAAATAGTTTTTTGAAACATAACTGCGTTTTATATGTTTAATTTGGCGCAGTTATCTTCAAAAAATTATTTTACTGCCTTCCCGATCTAATTTTTAGCTGAATTTTTTTGTGTATAAACTAAACTTGATGAGAAACATTCCATAAAAGTTTCATCAAAAAACTCCACCGGGAACCGCCTCAAACGGCGGCGGTCGGACGGAAGATCCTGTCCCTCCGGCTGGACAGGATCATTCCCCCCCCTCTCTATATACACCTCTATATATATATAGTGATTTTGCATAGTAACTAAAGTAGTATTTTGTTCATAAATTATATTTTCGTTATATTTAACAAAAACCTCTGTATAAAAAGGAGGAAAGTGTGGACAGCAAAATTAAGTATCACATTATTCTGATTTACCCATCCACTGAGTATTAGGTGGCTAACCACATCATTGATCAAGTGGAGAAAGTGTTGCAATATCATTACTTCCCGACAATGAACTTACCTTACTAAACAAAAGCTAGCTAGGAAATAGTAGTAACCACCATTTTTGGAGATGAGAAAATATTTTAATATCTATACTTAAAAGGAAACCACTAGCTATAGTATATAATATGGAGTAGAATATGGAAATTGGAAAGTGAATAAAAACCAAGTTGAGTTCCTGTAGAGACAACTGTCGTCATTCGCAATATGGTTCATGCAATTCCTATTTATGTATGTCAATATTGACTAAATCACACGGTTTTAAAAAGTGTGGTTAGTTGGTAAATAAGTCAAAATGTTTAACACTTGGTCATTAGTGATCAATGAATAGTTGTTAGCTTCCTCAAAAAATGAATAGTTGTTAGCTGATACCATCACACTTTATAATATAGCAAACAATTTTTATTCCTCAGTGACACACTATAAACAATGGTTTGTCACACAGACAATTCACCTTAAAAAATGAAAAAGAAATGGTATGTGCAACACTCGACATTCCAATCTCATTCTCATATAGCTGGATTCGCGGTGTGAAGATTTAAAAGGTATTTCCCGAGAGTCGAACTAGCATTTAGAATAGCTAAGAGTTGCAGGCGAAGGGCTTAGCATCACAGCAAATAGGAGTGACTTAAAACAGTTGACACAATATTATTTTCTCATTTCCCTCTCGGGCCTCTACTATGACCATGACTCTCGATCCTACGGTATGCATTGTTTTCACAAACAAAACAGGGTGTGTACGCCTTCGGGCGAGTACGGCTTTGGGCATGTACAAAGGGTATTTCTCTAATAGTTTTATTAGCATGGACTTAAATTGTTTTTGAACTTTTTCTTTGACACACATGGTTTTGGAACTTAATCAACCAACACTTACCTCTGCTCTAGATAGGTATGGTACATCTGGCTTCATTATTCAAGAGCTACAAAAGGAAAATCTGCAGCTTTCTATAGGAAACACCTTTACCAGAAAACTCAACTTAAATAAAGAAGTCAATTAATATGAAAAGGATTTCAAAAGTTAAAGAAAGTACTTATTACTAGTAAAAAGCGAAAAAGTACATGACAAATTATGTTTTATTCAAAAAATATGCCCACTTATGTTCTCATAAAATAATAAAAATCTCTTTTTTAATAATGAATCGATCATATTTTGGAAAGAAAATAATGGTGCCCCTAATTTATCAAAGTAATGGGCTAGAGTACATGCTCTTCTAGCCAACCTATCCACCGTCTGCGTCACTGGCGGATGCAGGAAATCCCAATAGGAGGGGCTAGTGGTAGTATAAAATATATACTCCCTCGGTCCCGGAATTATCTTCATACTTTCCTTTTTCGTCCGTCCCAAATTTATCTCCTTTTTTCCCTTTTTGGTAAAGAATTTGTGATTCACAACCATTCTTACATATTTCTCTCTCCTCTGCACAACTCTCCACCACACATTTTCCACTATCCTAATCCGCGTGCCCAGTCAAAACCGAAGTTAATTGTGGGACGGAGGGAGTATACAAATACATACGAAGTACTACGTATATATTAATGCCCAAGCCTTAATTCCAAAAGATTCTGGGGTCGGCTAACATGAAACGATCCATGTTTTATATAGTGATATACGCAGTAGAAAAACATTCGGGCACGACAGCCCTTACTTGTCCCCTTTGCGTCCGCCGCTGCGTACTGTACGAGGCACATATATGGATATACCTAGCCTTAAATTACCTCTACTGATAGATGTAGCCAAGTAGATAACTTGATTGTTTTTCTAAGACCCCTAGTTTTTATGGATAGTGAAACTAAGCATACAGGTAATTGTGCTGTGTGCATGTAGTAAAACAAGAAAAAACATGGCAGTAAAGAAACACTAAATCATTAAAACTATGTAAAGGTTGATATGAAGTACTCAAGCACGTAGTCTAAAACGGCATGGAAAGACAATACTGAACATTAAATAAACAAGCATGCATCCACCATGCCCATAAACTATGGGATCA